CCCTGACCAGCAATCATTGTTAACGAATGGTAAGCTGTTTTAGTTATATGATTTGAAATAATAAAAAATAGCATATAGTGCAAAATAGAATATTTCTTCATTGTTAGGAATGAAGTTCCATTTGACAATTCCATATTCTATTACTGTCCATATTCTATATTATATCATTACAGTGTTTCCACTACAAAGCGAGAATCTCGCATATTTTTTTCTTTTCTCGCATTAAAAAATTATTACCGCGAGAAATTCAAGCATTCTCTACATCAATTTCAAAATTCGCGAATTTCTGGCATTTTGGAAAAAGCTCAGAATTACGCCATTTAGAATAAAATCCGTTTCACTTATCTTCCTGGATCTTTCATTATTTTCAACATCTGCCCCGTTATTTAGCTTCCCTATTTACCAGTATTGTTCAGAACCTTTTCGAACAACAAAACACAACCACAGAACTCTTTTCAGAACACATTTCTCTGCAACCACGTGTTTACCATAGGTTAGGTTTCCTCATGTAATATTCAAATATTCAATGCTTTATCAAAAATATTCAATGCTTTAAAAATAGAAGACGTTAAAAATGTATTATAATTAAAGAAATGATTTTTTTTTTCATGAGTTTTGTGTTTTTTTAGTTTTAGGAAATCTCACTTAACTTTTTGAAATCTCACCCTGTTTTTGAGAAAGGGTGAGAAATTCTCACCCATTTTTTTTTCTATGATAAAAAACCTGTATTTTGTCCATTTTTTTCTGTGGCAACCCTGAGAATGTCTCTGTCTCTAGGGTGGCGATGTGAATGGGGGGGGGACTTAAAAATGTGTTTATTAAAGTAAAATGTGCAGCACTAATTAAATTTTTAAAGACAATTTAATTTTGATATATTTAATCCATGATCTTTTTTTTTCCCCCTTTCAGAAAAATGCAGAACTATTTTCAGCCTGCGTTGTTAACATGCCTACTGACCTCCAAGAAGCTTTGCATTCAGCCTTAATAGTGACAAATTGACTTTTGTTATTCACTCACAGTGACATTGCTGCTTTCAGAGTGTTATGAATAATTTTATGAACTGTAGATATTGTGTGTTCCAACATATATTAAATATTTTGTTTCCTATTTTTGTTTTGCCTTGCCTTTGATATATATCTATATATGTTGCATGTATAGTTTATCTAAAATAAGAACTCCCCCAGACATTCGTCTAGACCTGTGGCGGTGACAATGGTAACGTGATATGACTATTTCAAGTAGGAGTGTGGGGTAACTGTTTAGGGGTGGTTTCGGCAAAAGAACTTTTTCTTCGGTCTATTGTGTTAGTCCTAGAGTGAAGCTACCCTCCCTAAAATGCACCATTCTTGTTTCTATAGCACCAGACTGCCTCAGGCTTTGTGGCGGGAAGAGTTCTTATTTTAGACAAGCTATATACACATTGTGCATAGCGTTTTTAGAAAGTGCTTATTTTTGCTTTTCGTCTTTTAAAAGCCCTTAAAGGTTCTTTTTTCATTTGGTGTTTTTAAAAAGTGCTTAATTTTCCCTATTCAAAAATAAGATTTTTTTTCCTTCGCTATATCAATTTTCGCTGCCAAAGTGTGGTTCTTTTAATGTTCTATTCAATGTTTTCACACTTCATTCAACCACAATTCGTTGGTTCGTAACGTATGAAAGTGCCAATCCAGAAATCGAACTGAAAAATCTCTCAGCCTTTTTATGGTGGCTAATATAATCAAGAAAAGAATTCTTAGCCTGAAACTGGTTATTTTATCATGATCATGTGAAGTCTTTGAAAATTATTTTGCATTTTGTTAATGTATATAGTGCTTAAAAAGTACTTTAATGATGCTTATATTTTGTTGAGAGATTTGACGCACCCTGTACATAGTTGCCAACTCTACTGGATTTTGCCAGTTTCTCCTGGTTTTGATAAAAATTCTCCTGGTTTTCTGTACCTTTCAGAAAATTCCCTGAAATTGATTAAGTTTTCTAAAAAATTCCCCATTAAAATAAGGTAAATTTGCACAGATTATTGCGGGCTTGAATATTTCAATAAATATTACTAATATATAATGAAGCAAGTCTCATTTATAAAAATCAGTTAGAAACTCTTTTTGTTCTAAAATATTCAGTTTATTTTTTAATCAGAACTCCCTTTTTTTAACTTAATTCAAAAATCTTTTAACTAATGATGTATTAAATATCTATTAATTACTATTCAAAATTATGAGTAGACATAATACATAACATTTCAAGCATAACTGGAAAATATGGTTTTTCTATTTTGATGACTATAAAATGCTTAAAATTCTCTGTATGTAAAATATTTGGCACATAATGCATTCTGTACAAGTCTCCTGTTTTTAACAGAGACTCCTGCATTTTACGACTATCTACTATTTACCTGTATATTCTCACATTTCTCCCTATTTCAGGACTGATTCTGCTCCGGAAGTTTCCGGACATCGAAGGTCCAGACGTTTAAAAAAATCATTGATCACAGAAGTTACCAAAAATCAAATTTTCAAAGGTGGAACTTAAAAACACAGTTTATTTTGTTTGAAAACGAGATCCAGATGCATTTTTTTATCAGTAAATAATTATTATAATCATAAACTCAAGGAAGAAAGACATATTTGTAAATTTTAATTACTTTTCTAGGTCATAATTTAAAAATGTAAAGTTTTAAATATATTTTAAGTAAACTATTAAATATTGAGAAAAAGAAAAAAAATAATACCCTGTTTAAATTTTTTTCAATTTAAACTGGTTTTTTTTTAACTCAAGAATTTTCCAGAATTTTGACTTCGGCTCACAATCACCTGCGTAGCTGCCAAGTGTACAGATTTTATCGGAAGGGTTCCGATTTTCCTTGTTCCGATAATACGATTTTGGGTCCAAATATTCAGATTTTTCATCTTAGCGTAATTTTTTCTTTTACTCTATAAAGCGATCCATGTCCGATTGGCGAAATCCAATCAAGTCGCATTATCACTTAGCTCCGCCTCTAGCTCCATTCGTATATTTGATGATGTATGTACAGGTCGCTTCACAGACACCAAGAGGAAATTTTAGCTTCCTGACTCCTTGTCTTTTACTTGCAACCGTACCGGTGTTGAATGTTTACTCGGAACACATCTCTTCGATTTGAGTTTAGCTTTGAATGTTTTTCCACGTGGTAATCTGACAAAAATTCGGCGAAGTCCACTATTGATCTACAATCGATTAGAAGCGAATTGTATTCACAGGATTTCTCCTTGAACACAATATTCCGTTAGCTGCTGCAGACCATGCATCAAAGTTGTTTTGTGCGATGTTTCCAAATTTTTCGGAGGTAAAAAAATACTCGTGCAGAAAAACAAAAACTAGTTATTTGGGTCAAGAAATCGCAAACAACACTTCCGAGCAAATTATAAAAAAGCTGAAGACTAATGTGTTTAACATAGCGACAGATGGGAGCAATGACTCGTCGGACAATCAAATGTCTCCAATTGTGGTTACATTTTTCGATGATGTGTTGGAGTTATTGAGCTGCACTCTTATATCTTTGCCAGTTTTAAATTATTCAAGTACAGGTCAAAATATTGCCAATCTAATTTGTGCCTTTTTTTCTGAATACAGCATACCATGGGAAAATTGTTTATCGTTTTCCTGTGATAATGCAAGGAATATGATTGGGAAAAACAAAGTTGGTGCATATCTCAAGGGAAATCATTCTAATCTGTTAGTTTTTGTCTGCCTTTGTCATCTGATCAACCTGGCGGCTGAAAAAGGAGCAAAGACTTTGCCCATTTCATTTGATGACCTACTTATAGATATTTATTATTATTTTCATAGAAGTGGGAAACGAAAATTAGAATTTAAAAAATTTCAAATGTTTGACAAAAAAGGTGGTAAAAAAATTCTAAAACATTGTGCGACAAGATTGTTATCCCTTGGTAAATGTATCACTCGCTTACTTGAACAATGGAAAAGTCTTCTCTTATATTTCAAAGAAGTGTGTTCTGAGAGCAAAGTAACTACAGATTTCTCACCAAAAATCTCGGCGTATGTAATATTAAAATTACAGCCTTGTTATAGACAAGTGTTTGATGAAAAGTTTTTAAAATCAGCCAAATCTGCTACAACTGTAGCACTTAACAAGAATAATTGATTATTTTTTTATATGTGTTTATTGTCACATATGTTTGAGTAATAATAAAATATTTTGTTTTTAAATATGTTTTAAATTACTAAAATCAGCTATCATTTCTGTTTAATTAGTTTGTTGAATAAGAATAATAATCAGAACTCTTGTCAGTTGATATGTATTATAATCATTAATAATTGTTACATTAAATCTCCGTTACAATTATACAAACATTTAGTGTAAAGAAGTAAACTTTAATGTCGCGGCCGTGTGACATGTTCCTATTTTTTTCCCTGGCAGGTATGCCTCTGATATTTTTTAAGAAAAATTTGGTGGTAAAATATCCACTGATGACTAATGCCAGCATTGCAGCAGGTTCAGTGTTAATAGTTTAAGTCGAACTATTATGATGTCTCAGGGGATAGAGTGTTCACTTTCTAATGAGGTGAACCAGATTTGAATCCCAACCCTGACTGGGCGATACGAATTCTGCATCCAGCCTGCACTGACCACAGTGATGGCGTAAAATATCCTCAGTGGTAGACGCATCACGGGTTAGAGGCTAACCGAAAGAGGTTTTGCTCTCCATATAACTAAATTCAGGTTAGTTCCATCAAAAAGTCCTCCACAAAGGCAAATTTCTCCCAATACATGATCCAGGAGCTGACTTGTTTTCTGGATTGGGTTCAAAATTACAAGGTTACAGTTAAACATTAGTAGTTGTAAACCCAAAATTGGGCGGCTGTTCAACGACAGTTATAAAATAAAGTAGTTTATATTTCAAATTTTTAATATCTCTTTTTGATTTACATGATGTATCAAAACTTTACTCGTAGCCTAAAAAATTTCGCTAGTAAATTCTTCGTTATTTTATTTGTACAGTTTTGGCAGGTAGGATAATGCAACAATTATGAAATTTATATTTCGTAAAATCTACTGGATTTTTTTCTATCCTATGCATGTATGTACAGTGTTTTTTTTAACGGAAATAAACTGGATTTCTAATAGTAAATGCACCCAATGTGTTCGTCCAACTTAATGATAATCAGGAGTAGTACTAGGGTTCCCGCTGTATTTGAGAAACTAGAATTAGGAGAAAAAATGTTGCGTTAGTATAATTACATTTTTGACCAAAACCTGGAAAAATCTTGTTACAGAAGACAATAACAATATGCAGTATACAAAGTAAGTGTAACAACATGGTGCATAGTTTTTTTAAAAGGTGCTTATTTTTGATACTCGTTTTTTGTGTGCTTAATTTTACCTTTTCGAGAATGAGATTTTTTCTTTCTTTCTAAACCATGTAGATTTTCGACACGTATTATGCAAAAGCGTGCTTTTCACACTGTTCTATTAAACATTTTCACAATTCATTCAACCACAATCATTTTACATGTTTAATGCAATACTTGCGAGTCCGCATGTGCGTCTTCTGAGCTTTGTTCGGTGAGATTATTGCACTTTCGTGTGCAACTTTGTAAGATATTCTCAATTTCAGGCTGCATTTTCCACCCTCTGGTGTTCGATCATTTTATAATGGTTAATGTAATCAAAAAAGAGTTCTTTGTGAGAAACTAGTTTTTTTTATCATGATCATGTAATGTCTTTGAAAATTATTTTGCAATTTTTCAATGTGTTTAGTACTTAAAAATATTTTTTTAATGCTTTAAAAGTATTTAAAAGGTGCTTATTTTTTGTTGAAAGATTTGGCTACGTACCCTGAACAACATTATTATGTCTTATAAGAATTCTGCCATTAAATAATTATAAGATTAATTATTAGAATATTAGTTTATCTTTATTGAAAAAATTAAGTCAAATTTCTTTCTACATTAACTCATATTTGCATTAGAAGACAATTATGTACTATGTTTTTTAAAACTAAGCTTTCTGTATAAATCAATTTTGCTTCTTGATCGCAAGCAAGAACTACACTTACAGATTACTTTATATAGAGGGGACTACTGCTTCTATAAATTATAATTTATAAACTTGAGTATAAAACCGTAAAAATGTGATCTGAAATTTTCTTCGGAGAATCTGAGATTTATTTCAATAATTGAGTGGGAAACCTGTAGCACGATATTGTAATTATATGACAGTACAGCCTTCAACTCTAGTGAGACATCATATTTCAATAGCTTTTTTTTATCACTTAAATTTTAGTTATTGTCCTCTAATGTGCATATTAATTTTCATTCAAGGAACTTTGATGAAGTATACATGATGTTCTGTAAGAACCGCCCTTAATGCGTGTAATTTGAGTTCTAGTCATCAATAAATACAAGAAGGTGCTTATAATAATGATTGCAAATTCTGTTATAGCTAAAAAGAAACTAAGATGCTATTAAAACCTGCTTCGTGGCTGTAACTTGAAGATTTTTGAATAAGTCTTTCAACTGTTTCCTCCTGTATTTTTCATACTGGTAAAAGGATTTTAAAAATTTATATTTAGCAGTATCTACGTAATACCCTGCATGTATTGAAAGGACTTAATACTGTGGGCAAAACTTTCTGTTTCATCTCTATTGGTGTATAAAAATTTATTTTTAGATGAAGTGAAATCAGACATACTTAATAAGCCATAAAGTTTCATATGTTAAAAAAATATATTTACAAAATTTTAAAATGCAAACAAATTATTGGAGAACCTTGAAACTTCACTAAATGGACGGAAGGAGGCAAGAGGACTGACAAAGACCTTGAGGCCTTATGTGCCAGCTTGCACGAAAAGAGTAGAGGGTAGGAGGTCAACTTTTCAGTACTGAGAAAGAAATCAGTATGTTCAGTTTCATAAATTAATCTCTTTTCCATTTATTTTTAATATTGAAATTCTTGTTTTTCCCTCAAAATTATGTTAAATAAAAAAACGTTTTATTGTAAACATTGTTAATTTTCATAATTATTGTGCAATTATCAAGTAATGATGTAGCTCATTAATGAAAAATGAGATTGAACTTCAGCACCTACTTGCTTATACAAAATTTGTACCATTGTTGTTCGTAAATTTTCTTGTTTTATTTTTCCCCACCGTTTTGAAATGCTGTCCATAGTTAAATTGAGATTATGACTTTTTTAAAAAAAAAAAAAAAAAAAAAAATTGAGGTCATTCAAAACATAAATGATATGAAAAATATGTAGAGATATCTATAGCTTTGTGAAAAAAAAATTATTTGTTTATTAATTGAAGTACAAGGTTACCTGTTATTTTAATCTTGTTTACTGTAAAAAAAAATAAATTAATTAAATGAAGAAAAAAATTCGATGATTGATTTAATATGTGAGAAAGAAAGGTACATTTTGGAGTCGTTGAGCTATAAAATTCTAGTAAAAAGTTCAATCTTGAAATATTTTTAGAGTGCATGAGAGAGGTGCAAAAGAATTTGTTTGTGAAGTGTCTCTCGCAGGGCTCGAAAAACCGCCCGTCCTCGGCGGTCAAAAATTCCCCGCGGACAACGAATGTCTCGAATCCGACGTCCGCGCGAACGGCCATTTTCCCGTTAATGTTCGTGATACATTTTCAATTTTTGTAAACTTACAAGAGTCTAGCGCCTCACTTCTAAAATGAACCTGAAATGGAATTGATATTTTCTCTGTCTGGGAGTACTGCAGCGGTTGAAAGGGGCTTTTCAGCAATGAACTTACAAAAAAAAAACACATTACGTACTGGTCTTAAACAAGTAGCGTTAAACGCAATTATGAACATATATCTAAATGGAAAACCCTTTTCAGATTTCTGTGTTTATGGAATACCCTGTATAGGATGATTTTTACGTAATACCTAGTGTATATTAAGATAGTGTTTGTAGAAAACCTTTTATATCTTAAATATGGTTTTAATGAAACACCCAATGTATATTAGTATGTACAAGAGTAGTATTTATAGAACAACCTTGTTACAGGGACACTTTATTTTTTAAAGTAAATAAACTGACTGACATAACATTAGTATCTACAACAAAAACATATTTACAATATCTAGTTATCACAATCAAGTTTCATTTGACGCCACAAGTAGTCTGGAACAACTTGAAATTCAATTATAATGATCCTGTACTAAAGCATCATCTGGACGANCATAGTTGATTTTTCCATCTATAGCTTTGTGAAAAAGTTATTTGTTTATTAATTGATGTACAAGGTTACCTGTTATTTTAATCTTGTTTACTGTAAAAAAATAAATAAATAAAATGAAGAAAAAAATTCGATAATTGATTTAATATGTGAGAAAGAAAGGTACATTTTGGAGTCGTTGAGCTATAAAATTCTAGTAAACAACTCTAGATTGTATGAATTGATCAAAAAAGAAGTTCAATCTTGAAATATATTTTTAGAGTGGCACCCATGAGAGAGGTGAAAAAGAATTTGTTGTGAAGTGTCTCTCCTGTGGTATATCTCCTGTGGTCCCTCTTAAGTGCGGTGTTTATGGAATACCCTGTATAGGATGATTTTTATGTAATACCTAGTGTATATTAAGATAGTGTTTGTAGAAAACCTTTTATATCTTAAATATGGTTTTAATGAAACACCCAATGTATATGGGTAGTATGTACAAGAGTAGTATTTATAGAACAACCTTGTTACAGGGACACTTTATTTTTTAAAGTAAATAAACTGACTGACATAACATTAGTATCTACAACAAAAACATATTTACAATATCTAGTTATCACAATCAAGTTTCATTTGACGCCACAAGTAGTCTGGAACAACTTGAAATTCAATTATAATGATCCTGTACTAAAGCATCATCTGGACGAACTCTGTAAGGCAAAAAAGTGTTTTTCAATTCTGAGTAGATTGCATACCTGCCAAGTCTAGTGTTTTTTAACGAGGACTCCTGTGTTTTACGACTATCCCCTGTTTACCCGTATATTCTCAAATTTCACTGTATTTGTTGAAGAAATTTTTAAAGAAAATTTTGATGATAAGATATCCACTGCTGGTAAAAATACTTATTTTATTCCTCCATAGATATGCTATTGCCAGTACTGCAGTATGTTGAGTGTATAGTTTGAGTTGTGACGGCAATTCCTACTTATTTTTTCTTATTCTGATAATTTTTATACAATGTTATTACGACAAGCGAGTTTTTCGATTTTGACATTCTCAATTTAGATCAATTCTACCGTAAATATACATCCTTTATGGATCTTTTTTTTGTGGAAATGTTTCATATTTTAGTATTCACTTTTTCACGCGCTTGATTGGCGACATTTAAATCGTAAGTCCACATTAATTTTCGATCGCTAGTTATTACAATTACTTATTGTTTTTCATTCATTTTGACATCGTTTTTAAAATCCCAATATGTTTAATAAGTTACGACGAGCAACATTTTCATAATTCGAGAATTGCTCTCATTTTAAAACTAATTGATAGAAAGTACGAATTTAACTGAGGAATTATATTTAACTTAAATTTTATCTTTTAAAGAAAATAAATTTTGTTTAATGATAAAATGAAAAACTTATTTATTGTACATTTTGGGTATCTTAAAAGTTAGGCAAATATTTGTTACCAATTCCCTCTTTGTGATGGGTGCCCTTTTCAGTTTCTAGCTTCCTGCCTTTTTTAAGGTCTAGAATGAACACAACATACGGGAAAACTATATATAGAAATTTACCAGTCATAAATGATTGTTTGCTCGTAGTCGCAATTTTTGAAAATATTTTCCTATTTGAGCAGATTTTTGTGTTGAATATTTAATGTAATTTTTTATTTTCACAAATTATGTCTAAATTTTCACAAAATTACCTCTTAAAAATACCTACACAGACCCCTGATACATATTTTTTACTTCGCTAAATGTGCTTATATTATTTCCAATTTTGACTTAACTGATAAGCTGTGTTAATAAAGCTTCACAAGGTTAATTGATTCTCAGTTTCCAACAGAAACATTGACTCTTCGGAATAAAGTTGCATGACTGATTATTATCTTCCTAAGTTGATGCCACGTATATACAAGTAGACTCATCCCATTGCTTTTTAATTCTTTGTGGGTTCGATCCCCGCCGACCGAAGACTAGCTTTTTCGTAGATGGTGACTGATGCACGTTAAATCAGTCGGGTCGCAAAGTCCTCCATGTTTCCTTAACAAATCAGTACCTCTCGGGGTACTCATATAGGAGTTTCCTTGTCTTCTGGATTGGATTCAGAATTACTAGGCTAAAGAGTTAAACATTAGTAGTCTTAAACCCAAAAATTGGATCGTCTGTTCAACCACAGTTATAAAATGATCCCAGTCATAACTGGGACTCAAATTCCGCACCCGGCTCGCACCTACCACAGTGTAAACATTAAATATCCTTTGTGGTAGACTAGTCATGGGCAGTTTTCGTGGTTTTCCTCTCTATGTAAGGGGTTAGTTTTATCAAAAAAGTCCTCCACGAAGGCGAAATTCTACCAATACTTGATACTGGAGTTCCCTTCTCTTCTGGATTGGGTTCAAGGCTACGGAGTTGAACATTAGTAGTCGTAAACCCAAAATGTGGGTCGGCTGTTCAACGACGGTTATAAAATAAAATCATCTCATTGCTTCAAATGTAAGTAATAATATTTAATATTTGTCTGCCAGCATTCAGTGTCTTTTCAAACATTTTCTTTTTTACAACGTAGAAATTATTTAAAAAGGGTTACCATAACAACTGGACATGGATTGAATCAGGGACTGAAATGTCATGGACCGGTATTACCCCAAAAAATGTCCTGATTTTGTCCTTATTTCTTTGTAAAATGTTGTCCTGATTTTTTTTATTGTGAACCTCTACGAAGCCTGTCCAAAGCAGCATAAAAGAGCAAATAAACGTTAAAAATACGTTAGTTCTCTATAATTCTTTAGTTAAATGTTTATAATTATTTCTTTATTTTTTTTTTAAGCTGGCTACAAATATTTGTTGATAATATTGAATCTGCTCATTGTCAGTAACTGCCAAGGAGTTTTTATTCTTATGAAATTAAAGAACTTCCAAAATACCGAATGAAGTAAAGCTACACAACGTTGCATATAAGTAAGAACTTTACCTTCATAGTTGATTTTTCCGTCGTTGTCGGTATCTGTCTCTTTAATCATTATATCTAGCTGACCTTCTGACATGGGCTCGCCTATTGTGTCCATAGCTGTTTTCAGTTCATCCTTTTAAAATTAGAAAATATCAATACAGAAGAAAATATATATTTTTGTTAAGCTCACAAATGTCATTAAGAAACACAGTTACAGTTTAAGAATAAATATAATCTATTACATATTTTGGTTTGAAACTACTATCAGAAGTTAATATAATATTTTGAGGTATCTTATGAAAAATTAAATTGTAATTCAGTACCAATTGGTATAAACAATAATGGTATTTTAATTAAGATATAAACAATAATGGACCAAAGTATTTTAATTAAGATTTACCACAATCAATCAATTTTCCCAGATGAATTTGCACTTTAGTTTAGATAGTATATAACTTTTTTTTGTGTGCTTCAATTGCCGTTGGCTTTAGATTAATTAGGTTAACAGAAACGTGTTTCATAAGCTTAAGTATGACGAAATTTAAACATGTAGTTAGTAATTTCATACAGCTTTCAGTGACGTTGCACAGTGTCCTGATAAGAAAAATAAAAAAGCTTGGCCAAGGTTCTAAGCGTTTTAATAAACGGTTCATTTTAATATGACTTATTTTTTTCCTACTTATAACAAAAACAGATCCTACAAACAGACGAAAGAAATTCAAATGTTCTCTTAGTGTTACAAAATTGAAAATAATTTTAATAAAAAAAATGGTTATAATAAACACATTTATTAAACATTTCTAAAATCCCTTTTTTTAAATCAAAATTTTATAATTGTTTACTATTATTATCGGCTCATAGAAGTGTATAAATGTTGAGCTCTCTCCTTTTTAAAATACAGGCCCTTAAATTAGGTATCGCAGATATTTTAGTTAAACTTTTTTTTCTTCACGTGACTAATTAAGCTTGTTATTATGCAGACGTATTCTATTGTTCTGAGTGACAACTCCAAAGCCATATAAAAACATCTGTTACTTAGATCAGAACAAGTTTCGAACGGCTTCAGATAGAAAAAATGAAAGAAAAGAAGAAAAAAAAAAGCAATAATTTATTAAAGAAAGTAAAAACAAAATCAACTTTCTCCTCTGTACTGACATTTATAACAAATACTGAGTCACTTTCATTTGTTACGTTGCAATATTGATGATATTTTTGCCACTTTTTTTTTCCGGTAAAGAGAAAATATGAGAAGGCAAACGATTTTTTAATAGCATTTAAATTCCATGGTGGCACTACTAGTTTGAATTCAATAGTTCAAATAATGCGGTTCTATAACATAATTGACAGTCGCTAATTTTTGTTCTTGAAATTGAGAATCAAACGACTAAAATTCAATTTAAAAGATAAAGTTTAGAAAAAAATTTAAAACGATTTTTCTTCTTCGTTAAAATAAATATATTTAAATTAATAATTTTCATTCTTAATATTGTTTTTTAATATTTTAAATAAGTAAAAATATTTCTTTATAATCTTAAAAAGGTAAGCATGTTTCTTATAATCTTTATATTCTTAAATAGTATTTCTTTTAAACTTTAAAAAGGTAGATTACATGGTTCTTGAAATTTGCTGCATTTGGCACCATGAAGCTAGATCACTATCAGTTGGAACAATACCAGAATTTTTTTTATATAGGTCTTCGGCTACTGATAATGCACAAAAGTGCTTCAAATACCACAAAATTGTGATCATTAATGATAACGCATATAAACTACGATAATGTAGCAATCATTATCGATGGCATAACATATTAAAAAAATAAAGCGAATACTATGCATAACTATTGAATACGATGTTAGTGTTCATAAATTTAATTTGGGAGATGAAAATGTTGGCCCATGAAAAAATAATATGGAAAAATGTCGCGATATGTCAAATATCGATATTTTTTTATATGCATCGCTATATTGAAATTCGTTTTTACCGGTTTAAGAAACCAATGTTCATATTTATGACAAACACGTGGTTCCTATACTGATGTGCGATAAAAAAAACAATGTATGTGATTCACAAAAGGGTTACACTTACGTTGTTTTATTCAATTGCATGCCGGTATAACCGATAACATTACAAGTGATATAGCATTGTAATTACCATGTGTCTCTTTGACTTTTTGAAAAACTGATTAAAAAAACGTTATGAAACAAAAACATTTGATTTACTGCTTAGAAAAAAATGCATTTAATTCCACCTGGTTTAAAAATTACTTATAAAGTTATTAGATGCCAAATTATTAGACCCGCTATAAGATTCTATGTAAAATCTTAATTATCAATTGATGCTGTACAACTTTATTGTTTTCACGCGACTGAAACCGGTTTGCACTTGTTTACGTTCGTGTATAAATGGGTTAACATTGTAATGCATTACCTTAAAAATGAATACAAATAGGAAGTATATAAAAAATCTCTTGAATAAAAAAACCCGTAACATGTGTGTTTGGATATAAAAGTATTGCCTATAAACTAGTGCACAACATGTAGTTATTAAAACACACTATGTGCATCTAGTCATTTGATCTAATTATTACAATACTAGCCGCTTAAGGCGGCCAGCTGTCCGCCACGCTAAAAGTTTTCGCAAATAAAGTTTTTTAAAACATAGCAGGAAATCTGAAGATTAGTGGACAATTAAAGTGTTCCTGTCCTGCAATTTTGTCTTCATATCCAGTTCTGCTGCAGATGTGTTATAGCTCTTTAGGATGTTTGAAATTATATAGCTACAACGCTTAAGAAAAAAAAAACTAAAATGCCAAATACATGAAAAGAACACGAAAACGAATAAATTTTTTATGGTATCAATTTTTATTTCTATATAATTTTTTNCACTTTGATAAATGTAAACTAATGCGAACCTTACAATTAAATTATTAATTCCTTCGTATATTATTGGTTTAAGTTGTCGAAAATTAATATTTCAATTGTAAGGTTCGCATTAGCATACATTTATAAGAGTGGAGAAAAGTATATGCATTTTTTAATAGTTTTTTGAATATGGCTCTTTGAAGACGAAAAAGCATAGATTTTCTTACAAAATGACTGATAACTAAAAAACTAATCCAAATTTTTGAAAAAGAAAAAAAATACTTCTTCATTATGTCAAAACACAATTATGTGCCGAGTTTCGTGACTGGGTGAGGCTTCTGGGGCGATATATTGTGATTACAGACACACACACAGCCGCGTTTATTATGTATAGATATAGATAATAATACTTTACCTGATATAATAAATATTCTATATTTATATAATATATCGTCTAATTTAACCCATTGGTACACGAACGTAAACAAGTGCAAACCAGTTTCAGCGGTGTAAAAACAATAAAGCTGTATAGAGTATCACCTGATAATTAAGATTTTAGATAGAATCTTATAGTGCGTCTAATAATTTGGCCAAGGACTGTAGACAATGAGCTATTGGCGACAGTTGGAAACATCCCCAAGGATGATCAGAAGACATAACATCACAAATTCTCTGTAAAGGAGATAGCTTCTCCTCTTTGGTAGCCCGACCACCTGCAAGCGAAGTCGAGCATTTTACGGTAGAATGGTTTAAGAGGACCAAAACATCACAGGCGAATCAAGGTGGTCACACACCCGCACGTTGACCACAACTAGTGATGTTTGACTTTAGTGATCTACTGGAAAGCGTGTCTTAGGATCAGACCCACTACAGAGGAGGATTATTCAAAATTACCTTCGAAATATAACCATTTCCGTCTTTATCGAATACTTTGAAAGCGGCCATTAGATCAGCCATTGCATCTTCTTTCACATCGTGGTGGGACATCCAAGAAAAAAATTCTTCTTCATTTAATAACCTTTGACCTGAAAATAATAAATAAATAACATCGTTTTTCTTTATAAACCACAAAATTACATCAATAACTGCGTCAATCCACCATCTCATTTCTCTTACGATAAGTCGATCATGTAAATGTAAAATGCACATAACCAATTATGCTTTTCGACCTTTTCCAAAACAAATTTTTAACCTGCATCGAAGGCTTTAACAATCTGACGACGTGGTCGACATCTAAACTGACACCTCTCTCTCTAAACTTCTATATCACGCTTAAGTGAGACTTGAGAGGAAGCTATACAACGATAGAAACTTTTCATCGCAAATTCTGTTTCACCTCCTTAAGTAATTTAAAGTATAGAAAAGGTAGGTGCAGGTAATATTTTATGAACAGCCGACCCAATTTTGGGTTTATGACTACTGATGTTCCACTCCATAGCCTTGTCATTTTCAACCCAATCCAGAAGACAATCCTGGATCAAATAGTGGGAGAAATCTGCCTTCATGGAGGACTTTTTGATGGAACTAACTCGCATGTGCGTTACATGGAGTGGAAGACCACGAAAAATCTCCCACGGTTAGCTCGACTGCAAGATGACTCTAATCTACGGTTATATTTTTCAACTGAGGTTATTTTGCGTCCGCATGGTGGTTGGTGCGAGCCGGGTTCGGAAATCGTATGGATCGCTGGGATTCGAACCCGGATCACCTCATTGGAAGGAGATCGCTCTATCTCCTGCGCCATCACGGCTCTGGATATGTATAGTTGACCATGTAAAGCTAAGCACGGATGGGGCTAGAGGTTAAAATTCGTCGTAAGACGTCCGGGTTACTACGTCCGATTGATTTTTAAGCCTAAATCTGAAAAAGGGTGCCATCCAATAATATTATACTTGTAGTGTTTGCAACATAACGCGTTCTTTCAATTTAAGTTTAAACGAAACAGACAACAATTGCATTAGGAAGATTCCTCAAGCACGCTATGATATGATCCAAACAATAACAAACGGCGATATTATAAACAAATATAGCCAAATAAGCAATAACACTCAAAACATGGCAAACCTTAAGGCCTGGTTTCTTAGGACAGGACGCCGTCACATCAATAACTGCGTCAAT